TGTAATCACCACGGCTCAACCAAGCTTGACGGATATCGCTGTTGATGGATGACAAGTAGCTTTGAGTCCAGCCGTGAATAACGAATCTGGTTGGGTTTGCAGCATTGAAATTAGATTTGTTCACGGATTTTGTGGTAGTGGTGATTTTGGTGCCCTTCTTGGGATTCTTTGCAGTGTATAAATAGAAAGTAACTGGTGAGGTGGAGATTGATAAGCGTTCTTTGAATTCTTCTTCAGCTTCCATACGAGTTAGCATATCTTCAGCTTCATCTTCGCCCATCCATACGTAGGAACCATCTTTTTGAGGTACCCACCAACCATTCTCACCATGAATGTGAGTGTCATCATTCTCAGGGAATGCAGTTGTGGCAGCTGTTGTATTTAGGATTTAAGATTATGTGTTAGTGTTTAAATAGTTTATTAGTTCAAAGGATTACAAAAGTTCACTTACCTGCCAAAGCAAAAAGTGCTAGAACCCAAATAAGTTTCATTATGGCAAATAAATTCAACTATTGACTCCCATAGAGTGCGCGTGCTTATATACCCCAAGGTAGTATGAACGAAGATAATTTTGTAATCCTATAAGAATATGTGATAGCATTAGAGATATCATTTTCAGATATTAAATTTGCTAATAACGTAATTCGGTAGTATTTTTGATTATGGTTTTGCTTTTTTATCGAATCAAATATTATTTTCGTAGACAAAAGTTTGCTTGCTAATTTCTGCCAATTTGTCTCATGTGGACTGATAAGGATGATATTAATAGTTTTTACGAGTTATTTAATATGAATACATGTGAAGAACAAGTACTTTGAGTTATGCTGACTATACAAAAATTTTTCAGAATTTCCAAACTGATTTCCAAGTTTAGCCACAGACATGCAGATTATCTATATAGTGAAAAACGTACAAGAAAGTGGAAAGGAGCATTTTTTTGTTGTTGTAGAAATTAAGTACATTTTTATTAAGTTTTTTTTCTGCTTCATAATTTACTTAATATTATTATTATTATTTTTTTTTACATAGTATTATATTTTCTAAACACTTCACTCACTTAATTGGCAACATGTACAACATGCATGCTTATCACAGCGATTTGCAAAATTTTTGTTTTTTTTGAACTTATCAATTACGTATTGGCAATTAAATCAGTTTTTTAATTAATTTTAAATTGTTATTCCTACTGATTGCTTTCTTTTTTTGATTGGTTTGAAATTTTATAGAAATTCCTCAATTTTCTTTGATTAAAAGTTAAAAATAAAAATTTCTTCGGTTACTCTGAGGTAAACTGCTTGCTCACCTCCCGCAGTGCCGTGTTCGGGTACGTTCTATGAAATACCAGAGTAGGCAAACAGTACCTAATCAGTTTGCTAAAAACTACAGTAACACCAATGGTTCTAATCTAATCGTCTCACTGAACGCGTTACGAAATCACGTCTGTGGAAATTAATTCATAAATCTTTTTTAAACGGAACCAAAAAGCCATGAGATTTTGGGATTGATAATGAAAAACAAATAGAAAATGTATAGTCACCTTTTTGCGAACATTGATTGGGAAATTGCTTTAGTTGAAAAACAACTATCAATGATAACTGCATTGTAAATTATATGAAGGTGACTTCAGCCATAAAAAGCTTAGACGATATATATAATAAAATTAAAACAACAAAAAAAAATATTATTTAAATTTTGGTTTAAAAAGTGCAAAGTGCAAGATAAAATTTTTTTCTTAAAACGACGCAGAAAATTTTGATAGGATTTCGTTAGACTTTGATTTATAACTTTACTGATATAATACCTAGGTATATGCTGAGAAATTGGGTATCAATTGATTTTTTTATATCAGTAGCTATTTCATATTCTTTAAAGCATAAACATTCGCTTTTAATTAAAGTTTACCTCAATCCACACTAACTAAATAAGCACTGTGTTAATATTTATATTAAAATAATTTTAATAATTAATTTTAGTAATTAATTTTAATAATAAATTTATACGAGGTTCACGTAGTTTATTTAACACATAAAAATTATCTAAGTCTTATAAAAATTAAAAGACTCAGTAAAATAATTTTTATAAAAAGGCTTTAGTTTGTTTTCCAGAACATAAAATTAATTTAAAAATTTTATTTTTATATTTATAAGGTATTAAATAATACCTTCTTGAGTAACCCACTATATACCATCGACATATACTTATTTTTGTTCAGATTGTACTACTGGAACCTGAAGACACATGTTATGTTAGAGAATAATAAGTTTCGAAATTTAAAACCAACTTTAGCCAAATTTAATAAATCGTAATGTCTCGATGGTGCAATATCTGAACCATTAAAAGTAGGAGTAAAAGAATTTGAAAATATTTGAAACTTTATCCAGTGAATCCAGATATCATATATAAAAATTAATATAATATAATATAACAATATAAATATATACATCAAATTATGTATATTGAACTCAAATGTCACATCATTCTAAAATATAGATGCAATTGCTGGAATGTATCTTTAGCCATTATAATATCACTTTTAACAGATGGTGTAGTAGTATTAAAAAAATCTACTAAAAAAAAAAGACAAAGCGGATTAATGTTGACACTCAAATCAAAAGATCATAGTCAAAGCTCTCGATTGATATTATCTACAAAAAACCGCGACTTCTAGGTTAAAATTCTGCTTGTAACAGTTGCGATTTGAGACTTCCATTCATAAGACAGAATCCCAAGCAATCGAAAATGTGCTGACCAATTGGGTTTTTATAATTAAGTACTATGTAGCCAGCTTGATATTTAATTTAACTTAATTTAATTTAACTTAATTTAATTTAACTTATTTAATTTAACTTAATTTTAAAAAAGTTATTTCTCATATTTAATAATAAAATGTACTTCTTCAAATAAAGCAAAAGATTTTATAGCCATATTTAATTCCAAACTTTAAATAGACCACCTTATATAAAAGTAGGGAATTAGCAAAATATCCTTATAACTAACAGGGTTCGGATAGATATAAAAAGACAAAAACAAAAATTTTAGAAATTTGGCTGATCATACAACGCTGTTTTGAGTATTTTAGAGTACTAATCATCCGTGATCCTAGAAAATATTCGAATTTTTTATAGTTTATAGTCTGCAAGTTCCAGGCTTAGAACTGTCAAATTAGAAGCTATGACTTTTATGGCTTTTATTCATGTATTTTAAAATTACGAATATTTATTGAATATTGATTTTACAGTTGATAATTTTTCTTCTTTAAATGAAATTTTTTATTATTAATAATTGATTTAATAAATACTGACAATTAATAACCACAAAAATTTGATACCTTGATTAAGTTTCTCCTACGCAGAACTAATTTTATTACTAAAATTTATTTAAAGATGTCAATTTTATTTCATGTAAATTAATTCAATAATTTATAAATAACTTCAATTATATAAATCTTTAATTATGTGGGACATTAACAAAGGAATGGTATTTGGCAAATCTTAAATGCCATAAATTGCAGACATTTTCGCACTCAAATCAATTAAGTGACCGCTTTGTTATAAGATATTTTGAGAAGGAATTCCGTAGCAAATTGTTTGGATTCCAAGAAATCCTTAGATAGTATAGGCAAAGCTTTGCCTTTAGTAGTAATAAAGTGCATTTCGTTTTGTAAGTTAAATAAGTTAATAAAATTTATAGTTGATTTATGAATGAAATATTTTCTTGACACATTGTTTTCAACTTAAGTAATAAAAAAATTTACTTAATATTTATGGAAGAATATTTTTCGAATCTTCAGTTTGTTATTAGGCAGTTAGAAGTCAGATTTTTACACTGCTATGTGGGTTGGGTTTAAAAAATAATACAATATTTAAATATTAAAATTTGAATATTATTATAATAAGGCACTATTATTCTCTATTAACTGCGAGGTTTCTTCATAATTCCTCTGTACACTTTGACTAGATTATTGTTTATCACTTCATCAGATAATGCAATAACTGACTTCAGATCTGCATACCTCCCCGAGAAGACTGTAGTCATTATGAGATTTGATAACGCAGTGTTAGTAAGCCTGTCAGTTTTCGTAAATAGTTTCAGGACTCTATGTTTTATGTATTTTTAGTGTTTGAGTCCTTGCTGAACGCTATACACTGATTTTAGATGACTTTATTCATATGTGTGTGTGGCAAATTATATGAAGTGGAAGTACCGAGCAGATTCTATGGCCAGAATTATAGGCTAATGCATTTGAAGTTTTGGTGAATTCATCAGTATACTATGTTATTCACAGTCTACTAGTTTTCAGAGCTATAATATATCCCACAATTATAGTCTGATGTCAAGAATCAAATAAAATGACCATTTTTTCATGAAGCATTGAAAACCACATTGCGAGACTTGAAGTCACTAATATCACCTATTACAAACGAGTTGAGAAACATCTCAAATGTGAAAGACTTCCGAATCGTTCGAAGCTTAGTATTTCAATTTTCGAATTTATCTAATCTGGGAATAACACTGTGGTTTGTAATACTTATGGGCGATGATTGGTATTTATTAAAGTTTAGAGTTCTTTAAGAGTATACTCTATAGATCGAGTTACAATATCCACGATAAAAGTAATCCATTTCATTGAATTAGAGAGCAGGGTATTAGGGAAACTTAAGGAAAAAGTTTGAAGAACCTCATTAGAAAATTGTTCGGTGTTCAGAATATCAGACGGGAGAATATATCGTCAAGTTAGATGTGTGCGCGCCAAAGACAATAGATAGTTTCCTGAAGACAATAGATAGTTTACTTAACTGATAATTTAGTGGAAAACTGGGTTAGAGTGGTGATGGTCATTGGGCTTGCTATGTAGTTAACACAGTTACGAAGCACTTTCATCTCTAGAATGTGAGAGTGTTTTATTTGAGCAGAGCTTATATCAGAACAGATTGGGAACACCAAGATGAATATAGGACCGACGAGCAACTTATTGCAGAGTATTTTGAGCGTAACGCTGAGTACGTTATCGTATGTGTTGAAAAGAAACGCTGAGCGCTGCTATTGTTCCTTGTCGATTATCTATTTTAATTCTTACCAGAGTTTAGCAGAAAGTTGGCAAGACGTAGAGAATAACTCTAGCTCTGCTTTTTTCCAGCATTCTTTTCTACAATGACTTTCAGTTGTACTCGGGCCGTTATGAGACAAGATTGTTTTTGATGCCGCCACAATAGAATGATTTAAGTTTATATGAATAGTACTTTGCTATTTAATTAAATTGAATTAAAGTATTATTTTATTTATACTTTGTTTTTAGGTTAAATTGCTTTTTATATGTAAATTAAGCTCTCTCTATATTTTAAACTCAATATTTCTCTTCTGTTGTATTATCTTATCTTATTTCGGATAAAAAAATGTGTGATAAGATAATTCCTTTGACTGTTCTTTTGCTCACTAAAGCTGTAATACAACTACATATGAGTATGTCTACAGCCAGCAGACTAAATATATATATAAACATAAATGTGTAAATATTTTCCCAGTCTTGAAAAAAATAAAAAAATTCTATTATTTCGCACAATATTCACTCAGTGAGGTGTGCATGTTATGGAGGTTATGTCTGCTACTGTTCACACTTGTTCTCGTTCTTTTTCATCACTTCACTGCTAATGAGTTTTTCATACGGCAGTGTGTGCTGGTAATTATTACACTGTTAATTGATGTTTTTATGTAAGCACTCTGACTGCAACAACAACAAATGGGCAGAGGTAGCAAAGGTAGCAGAGGTGTAGCAATGACAAACACACTTTAAATGAGTGTATTTGTTGCAAACACAAAATGCTATAAAAACAAGGTGAAGCAGACGGAGCGTGATTATTGCAGGTCAAAAAATGGCGGATGCCAAAGCAGGCATAAAATGGCAGTTTATTCACTCAGAATTGATGCGACTGATGAGCGCTTTTAATTCTTGCTCTGTACCTGAGTGTGTGTGTGTGTATATGTGTCTGCAATATGTGTGTGTGTTTAATTGCATGTAATTACATGTAATTTTTTGCTGGTGTATGATAAATGATTTTCTATTTTATTGATT